AAAAAAAAAAAAAAAAAAGGAGCTGTGGAAAGAGGTTTAGGAAGATGAATCTGGCAGCAATGTGTAGGACAGATAGGAAGGGAACACTTGGAGAAGAGGAGCCTGCAGATAGTCAATGCAGGAGTCATGTGTGCAGGGAAGAGACCTAGAATAATTGTGGAAGTCACAGTAACCAGACGGGAAAGGCCTGGTTTGAAAAATACAACAGTTTGCCACTTTACCAGATCTGGACTCAGATCGGGGCAAAAGTCAATGCAGCAAGTGAATGTGCTCTTATAGTTGACTATATGGAAAAACAGCTCCTAGTTAAAACAGGCCACCAGGGGGCAGTCTCAAAAAGCCATATACTTAAACTTCTAATCAAAATCCAAAGGATTAAAGTTTTTAAAGTAGTTATCTGGAAGAATATAACATGCAAGAACATTAAAAAAAAAGTTTTGCAAGAAGAATGTTTCATGAATGTTAGATCTGAAAATGTTAAGTCTGTTGTATTATAAAGGTAAACATTAAAATGGTGTGATGCTGATATAAAAATAAATGCACAGATCTGTGGAACAGAAAACGGAGTCTAAAGAGAGATGCTGGTCTGTATAAGAATTTAACATGATCGTGGCTGGCACAGTGGCTCACGCCTGTAATCCCAGCACTTTGGGAGGCTGAGGCGGGCAGATCACCTGAGGTTGGGACTTCAAGACCAGCCTGACTAACATGGAGAAACCCCATCTCTACTAAAAATACAAAATTAACCGGGCATGGTGGCGCATGCCTGTAATCCCAGCTATTCAGGAGGCTGCAGCAGGAGAATTGCTTGAACCCAGGAGGTGGAGGTTGCAGTGAGCCGAGATCGCACCATTGCACTCCAGCCTAGGCAACAAGAGCAAAACTCCGTCTCAAAAAACAAACAAAAAAAAACTACACCACTAAATTAGGGTAACTAAATCGGTAAAAAACACTTTTCATCAACATGACAGATGATAAATGATTATTTTTGTTAATATAGAAGGAGTGAAAGCAAGTTGATAAGAAAAATGTACTTTCCCAGTAAAATATGGGCAGCAGTCTTTGAGTATGAAAAATAGCTCATAAATGTGATAAAGATTCATCCTTTTATAACTTAAAAAGTAAAATTTAAAATGATGAAAAACCATTTTTCTTCCATCTAAATGGCATATGTTTAAAAATATTCAATATGTAAGTATTGAATACCCACTTCCCCTTGCTCAGTTTCACATATGAGAGGATGGCAGAGTTGTTCTGGACATTGGGTTGCCTGTAGGTGTCAAGAGCCTTAATATTTATGCCAGTTGACACCGTAATTCTACTTTGAGAAATTCCTTTGCGATATTGATGAGAAATGTGGGCAAAAACTTACGAAGAAAAATGCTGATCACAGCATTATTTATAGTAGCAAAAACGTAATAAACAAATTAGATTTCCATGGTCGGAGAACAAATTATGTGTTTATTGTGACATCTTCTTGATGGAAGCTTTTTAAAATGATATTTATAAAGCCTTTTTTTTTTAAAAGACAAGAGAAAGTGGGCTGGGCGCGGTGGCTCAAGCCTGTAATCCCAGCACTTTGGGAGGCCGAGGTGGGTGGATCACGAGGTCAAGAGATCGAGACCATCCTGGTCAACATGGTGAAACCCCGTCTCTA